AACTCCTGATATTCTGTGATTCTGTGAAATATGCCTTAATATATCCTAACATGAAGTATCCAGTGCATTGAACTTGCATTGTATGTTAGGGAAAATATCCTTTAAAAACAATCTCATGAAAATGAATGTCTGTTTCATATTTTAAGCATGTAATAACTACACAAGACAGTCGTCAGTAACTTGTAAACTTTCCAAAACTATCATTACAGCACTTTAACAGACAAGTTTGAGGGATTTTTCATTCATGTCTTAGTTGAAAGGCAAGTTTTAACTACACAATTCACTTGCTCCTTTTCTTTGATAGGTGAGAGTATTAGAAATACTCCTTCATTGTGCTCTTTGGAATGTCATCATTTTTATGGCACTGCTTGCCCCGTTCAGATTTGGTTAAGTAGCAAGTGAGAGATGTTTGGAAACTAACATGTGTTAGTAAAGCAAAAGCAAGAGAGATTTCACAAGAGAGAAGTCAGCAGGAGAGAAAAGCATGTGCTTAGATATGTTCTTCTGTAGATCCTACATTACCACTAAGAGTTGTATTAATGCACTTCATGAAATACAAACTAATGAACTCATACATTGTTTTACTTAGCAATGCTTAACAAAGCTCAGAAAAAAAATCAGTTCCTCTAATGGGGAAATTGCTTCCTGCTCAACTTGTGACATTAATAGAGCATCACATATTACAAAGATCTAGTGGGTCCCCACACACCTGCCTATTTACCAAACCCTACTATGAAAAATACTTCCGCACAAGACCTTGTATTCTCAATCACATTTGTAAATGAGAGAGAAGAAACTGATCCCCTAAAGCCTGGGCAACCCCGTCATCTTCTGGACCCTAACAAGGTGCTGGAAATCTATGCCCCTTGGAGCTTTGGCAGTCTTGTTGTTAAACAAGCCATATGTTGATACAAGTGAGGGTAGACCCAAAAAACAGGTGATATATTTCAGTCATTCTTGGCAGCAGATAAGAAGAACAGAAGAGAAAGGGAGAAGATGCAGTAGAGCTAGTCCGACAATTTTTTAAAAAAATGCTAAATTGTTAAATATGTCACAACCACAGTGCAAATGTCACAAATAACAAAACTGTTCTGCCCAACTTTAGTACCTCCCCTGAGATCTGTATATTTTTTTTAATTATGAACAGTTCAGAAATGCATGTCCTAGTGCTTGATTGCAAATGCAGTTTTGGTCATTCCCCTTTCACTTCACAGTAGATACACCACTGGCTCTGAAACAGATTATCTCGAATAGAAGATCTGTCGAGTCCAAGAGCCTGTTCAGCGTAATCTAATTTTGTCATACCTTGTCTTGTTTTCTCACTTAGCAATTAGTTTAGGATAGACTTAACGTATGTGCTGATGTGCAGGTGTATCTCTGTGTTAAGGAAGAATGAAGGGGCAGGGAGGAAAAAGAAAGGGAATGAGGGAGAGACATTGTGCATCAGTATGAGAGTCAGAGGAGCTGCCTTCAGTTTCCAGCTTTGCTGCTGTCCTGTAGTTTGACCTTGAATGAGTCTCACTGCTTCCTGGTACCTCAGTTTCCCAATCTCTGAGGTGTAAATAGTGACAGTTTCTTTTCCCTTGCACTGCAAAGGCTTCAGATTAAAAGTGTTATGGAGTCTTAATTACTACTATTTTGGGAAGCAGATGATAAGCATTGGTTCTGAGCAAAGTAGCGCTTCTGCCCCCCACCCACAGAGTTATTCTAACTGATGAAACTGTGCAAAGATTCCCAAGCTGTAATCCAAAAAAGTGTTCTGGCCTCAGTAAAACGCACCACAATTTAGATATCAAATAAATGTAAACCCCTATCTATAATAGTTAGTGATGCACATCACTGGAGTGAGAACAGCAGTAAGTCCGTCTTGAATCTAGAGACAAAGAACAAAACCTTGTGCATGAGTGTAAAGTAGGTTAGCAGTGGCTAAACCATGAATAACTACTTTAACAGTTATGTCTTACAAAATTACATTCTGTGGAGAAACTTTTTTTTTTAATTGAAAAGATAGTGTTATGCACTGCCTAGGAAATCTCACAGGGTGGCAGAAGCTGAGTAAGATTTCCGTTCTCTGTGAGCTCTGTAATACAGCATAGCATGTTGTTCAGAATTTTGTGTGCTGTTCTTCCCATGTTAACATCAAGATATTTTTTCCTGTGCCTATAGCGCAGAGGTTGAAACAAACCCTAGAGCCTTGTGACACTGAATATCCAGCTTTTATTTCTGAACGCACTATAAAGGAGACCACGGGGAATATTGCTTGTGATGACTGTTTCAAGTAAGCCCTTTCAATTTTTTTTATACAACTATTTGTGACAAAGCAGTAAAACTAAGTTATTCAAGGTTATGTTGAAGAATGTACAAGTCTTGTGTTTTATATAACGACCTCTCTCAAGTTGTCATTTCTCTTATTACAGGGGTCATTTAAAAGTTTGATACTCTCAAATTAAAGTACCTGTTAGTTTTTACCAAAAAATGTTAAACTAGTAGAGGCTTATGCTAATTTAAAAGAATTGTAAATGTTTTAAGAATTTTCCTGGACATGGGCAGCATTCTAAGGGCATTTTCTGTAAAGATTTAGATATTAAAAGGTTAGTGCTGCTAGCTCTTTTAAACAGGGGTGAAAGCCTGCTGCATAGGTTAGAAGTTCCCTTGTGGTACTGTGAGATCTGGTTGTTTTCCTTCTTAGAACTGAGTCTGAAAGAGTGAGAGAGGATTAAATCCATCCTCCAAAGTTTAAGTGATGGGAAACTGAGTTAATGGTAACAAATCTCACATGTCAGTGCTGTAACCTTGATGGCTCTACCACTGCTACTGTAAAATTGCCTCTCATAGGGTTAAAAGATAAAGACTTCAGTCTAGCTTTCCTCTTTCATACCAAAAATGTCTTTTCTCTGCATGTAGGGTGTATGTGTGGTTTTGTTTTTACTGTAGTTATGGTACATATGTAATTATATATATATATATATATATAATATGTAATTAAAGAATTGTATAGATATTCTTTATGCAAATTTCTGTACTTTAGTTTACTAAGTCTCTTAATTGGATTTCCTTTATGCTGAGAGGTAATCATCACAAAGGTGATTTACAGTATTTACAGCAAAAATCTGTCTATATAAATGTCAATAAGAATTTATAAGTCAAAACCTGTGACAACTATCTCTTTGCAGACTCAATCAATATGCAGTTAGCAAATAAAGGTGAAAACTTTGAACTCTGACTCTTTGAAGTCAATAGGTATGCATCTAGACTTGCTCTGAAATTTTCTCCTCCATCTCCACCTGGACAGCTTCCTGTGCAACCTCATCTGGGTGTTCCTGCTCCGGCAGGGGGATTGGACTGGATGATCTTTTGAGGTCCCTTCCAATCCCTAACATTCTGTGATTCTGTGATTCTGTGATCTCTTCATAGTTTTAAAACAGGAAATAGGAGCAAGTACACTGCAGATGTATTTTAAGTGCTAATATTCACTTTTAATTTGCTGATGACCAATTTTTAATTAAAAGGAAATTATTAATGTCTAGTATGGATAATTGTTTTTATATGGCTTTGTGACATAGAAGTACTAAAGTCCTTTATAAATGAATCCTAGGAAGCACTTTAAGTAACAATAGGGCCCACTGCCTGAAAAGTACAAACTCAACAAAATCAAACCATGACTTTTCCACTTGACATATCAAATACAATGTTTGTTACACTGCTGTGAGTGCTTTATGCCAGCACTGTAGAATTCAAACAGTCTTATTTTATGATCATTTAGCAGAAGATTAGTAAGAATTTGTGCAACAAGTTATCATACATCTCTTATGCTTAAATCTTGCAAACAGTCATTATTAATTTAACAGGACCAGGTTCTCTCAAAGGAATGCAGATTTCAGTCTGTCGTCTTAGGTAACTTCAGGTCAAAGGAAATAACTTTCAAAAATAACACAATTCTGCAATACTTGGACAGCACCACGTTGGAAACTGAGTTTAGTGAAAATTATAGTATTTCAGAAATAATGTGCTAAGATCTTTTTCATAGAAAAACATTTTGTATTCCGCAGTGGAACAAAAAAAACTAAAGAAAACCCTGTAAGTTACAAACTGATCTCAAGACACACATTATTTTTCTCCACAAGTGATGGCACAACCTAAAGAAATAATCCAGAAGAACTATTAGATTCTCATGGGAAAGTTCTTCATTATACCATTTACCCACTGTCATTAACAATCTACAAATTGCATCTAAGATTGCAGACTGCATTGGATTCCAGATATTTTTGTTACAACCCAGGACACTTTCCCGCAGAACAGTTAAGGAATTTGACCCAAAGTCCTTTGTAGACCTACATCTTCTGATCCAGTTTTCTGTTTCATCTCCTCAGTTCCAATAAATATTTTTACAAGCAAGTGTATTGCTTAATACTTGTAATTTAAGAATGATGGGCTCAATCAGTCAAAATTAGGGTTCAACCTTCTATGCAGTGACTCTTGAACTGACACGGTGTTCAATTGTTAACCTGCATGGCGTCTGTTGCATACTGGGCTCTGCATTCAGTCCTTTGAGTCAGTAGGATTATTTTCTGCGTCCTCCTTGGATTATGTTACAGATTAATCTGTTTGTGATATATTTGCAAATCTTGTTTACAAATTGAAGATATTTGTAAATATTTAGCTGAATGTACCCCCACGCTAATATTGCAAACTTATTTGAAAGACACTGGAAAAGTCAGCATATTGTGAACAGGTTTGCAAATGAAAGTTGTGCAAATACTCTGCTGCAAGAAAGTTTGTGTCACAAGTTACTCATTCGAGTCACTGTCTTTTGTTTCTACAGCGTCAGGCACTACTATAGAGTCCTTGTTTGAAAAAGGAGACTAAATGCAGTCTCTCAGTAGAAGTAAAAATGATGACTGATGTTAATTGAAAACATAAAATGTTACTTAGATAAGACATTTTGGAGCACAAATACTGTGTTATTGCTAACAAAGTCATAGTCAACAAGGTCGCATAGCGAGAGTCAGAGGCTCAGTCTTATTCTGTCCTGAGTGTGCTGTTACTGATCTTACAGAAATACTCTGCACTTCACCGTTACCAAGGGCAACAGCTACCAACTGTAGCTATGAAAACTAAGCCTTATTCTTATAAATGGTTCCAATCATAATTTTTAATCATGGGTGCTTGGATTTAAATCAAAGTATCATCACAAATAAATCACACAGTAGGAAGGATTACATGCTAATGACTACATAAGTAGCTGGCTCACCTTTTCAGCCATCTCTGAAGAATTATTCAATCAGTGGATCGGCACCTATACACTTAAGTGGACTTTGAGTCAGAAAATAGTAGAAAATAGTAGTTTCTTTGAATAGAAAATACATTCTCTATATGTAAACTTATATTTTTCTAGCAAAAAATAAATGCTGCTTTGGGATAATTTGCAATGTTTAAAAACAGTTTTCAAAAATACAGGTTTTATTAAGAAAGCAGGAGCCTGAAAGAAAATAAGAATTAACATAAGAATATCATTAGGGTCAGGGTTTGGCTGTCCCACACCATAATTTGTTGTTATTCAATATCCCAACAATTATTAATCTGTTATTTAAACAGCAATCAAAAACAAGTCAACCCACATTTTCTAAGCACTGTCAATAAGACAGAAAACCAAGGATTTTTTAAAAATCTGAAATGCTTTCCTATTTTCCAGTAAAGTGTTCCCTTTTATAGTAAAAACCTTTTTTTTAAGAAAAGCATTTCTTCTGAAGACTCAGATGATGGACTATTGAATGTTCTATGGCAGCTTCAGTGTTGGAAATAGTTAATTCCTAAAGAGAAATATTTATTCTTTATCAATGTTGACTGGCACTCTTTCTGTTGAGTTAGAACTACACTATTGCCAAACACACTTGATATGGGTTTAAAAGCATTGTGCTGCTCAGAGATGTGTTTTTGATTAGACTTTAAATTTGAAATCTTTGGCTAAACAAGCATCTCAATGCTGCTTGCAGTTTTATGAGGCATTGTCCCAGTGTGTTAGCCAATTTTTGATATAAGTGAGCATGTCAACCAAAGTTCTTCAGCAACTCTCACTGGTTACATTACCAATTTTTGCTTTCTGGTGATGTCAGCATTGCAAAGTTTAATTGCTGGTACTTTAAAAGCACTAAAAAGTCTAAGGAAAGCGTCCTTAGAAAGACAAAGTTGGAAAGGGTGATGGCTGTTTTGATATTTGACTGGAGGAAGTTACCTGATCTTTTTAGTATATCCACTCACCTGTTTGACGAACAAAACAAAAAAAATTTCTCTAATTGCAAATCTCTTTCTGCATGAAAATTTGGATGTTTTCATTTAGCTCCATTTAGGAAAATACCGTTAATTTCAGCATTAACTCAGGCTGCTATGAGCGTGGGTGTAGATCTTCTGTAGGCACAGCAACTTACTCATCTGACTATTTATACATTAAGTATCCGTTTCAAAATTTCAAAGTTGTAAGAAAACATTTGAGTACATAGTTGCCAAATTTGCATGTGCAACTGTAGAAACTATGGATATAGAAATCAGGCAGCAGTTACACAGTCAAATGCCTAAAAATCTGCCCTTTTAACCCCTCCTGTTCATGTGTGATGACATACTGGACTTGGATGCAGATCAAAAATCTGGCTTTACTTCCAATGACCCAGCGAGCAAAGCACCCTTCTCTTTTAATTACTGCACTCAGGGGTCCACAAGGTCAGTACCAAAAACCCAAAGAAACTGTTTTGTTCCCAGTTAATTCTTTGTGCACAGTCTTAAGATACAAAATAAAGAGAAAAGTATATATGAGAAAGACGTATTTTCACTAGGGAAGCAAAGAAGTATGCAGCTACAGTCATCCTAACCCTGGGAAAGACTTATGCGTGTGTTTTAATTATGCAAGATGAATGTGTTTCCTTTACTTTGTTTTATATCACATGCAAATTGCTTGTTAAATTGACATAAATTACTTATTTTAATAAACACTGCCCCAGGCATTATATATTTGGCCTGTTGGAATGTTAGTAAGCAGAAATGATTTAACAGGGAAAATCGTCAATAAACCAAATGCCTTCTCATGCCTTCTTATAGACTGGGCGTTGAGTGTTGCTTATTGTCAGTTAAAAGAGGTAAACGACAGTGGAATTATAGCTCACAATGACACTGAAGCCTTCATCTGGATATATAATGGCAAATTTCATGCTTGTCCACTGAATGCACTTATTAACAGATAAAAAACAATACAAATTAGATTCAGATTGCTCAGGTCATGAGTATATT